TCTCCCCAGTCTGTCACGTGTTTCAGTGTTTGTTGTGTTTGTGCTACTTCCTGTTTCATTTTGACTGTACCTCATCTCATGTGCATTGTGTTCAGTTTTGCTTGCTGCTGTGTTCCCAGGTGTCTCCACTTCCCTAATTACCCCTCATCCCTCTGTCCTTTGTCAGAGTGTCTGTTCTCCTGCGTCTCCAAGTTCCTAGTGGTCTATCCCGTTTAGGTTTTCCTGCTTAGTTCCTTGTTTCCGTTTGGTTTTCTTATTTTTGTTCTGTTTTGTCAATCAGCCTTAACAAATGCCTCTCCTTCAGTTAACTCATTTCGGTCACCACACGTCTGCATTTGGGTCTTCTCTCTGCCAGACAGACATAGATTGAACAATGTCTGTGAAGCTGGATTTAGGAAATGAGTGCTTAAAGTTTTTAGAACATGTTTATGTTAGCTAACTAATGACAGAACTGAGAGCTCACTGGAAAACAAGAAGATTTATAAAGATTGTTATCAGAGCATATCAGCTAACAGATGGGTTTTCCAAATCAGTGCAGCTAGCAAAACAATGTAGAACCACTTACTGCTCAAGAGACGCAGACTGAAAGTGGACACTATAGCCTTAATTTCTTAACATAAAAGTCCAGAACGTCTTTATTGCAGCCAGGGACAAAAGTAACCCCTTAGACTGCTTTTTAGTTTTAGTTCCCGTTTTCCACTATCCTTTTTTTAAAACATTTCTTCTGCAGCCGCTATCAGGCTGCTATCAGTCTCTCCCAGAGGTGGTAAAAGTACAGACATTCTGTACTTAAGTAGAAGTACAAATACTACTTTTAAAAAATAAAAGTTTAAATACTGATTCAACTTCTCTATTCAAGTAGAAGTAAAAAAAAATACAGGCTCCAAAATGTACTTAAAGTAAGAAAGTGAAAAATAGTTTTTTGCAGGATGTTTCAGAAAGATTCTGGGTGGGCAGATCAGCAAATCTGATTTTCCCTTCAAACAGCTATACACAGGATGATTTCCTTAGATGACTCATCATTTAAAATACTTCAGTGCTTACAGTTAATGCAGACTCAGGCATGGAAAGGCTGGTGAAATGCGATCACTTTTAGTCGGTTAATCGCTGCATTTATGTTCGCAGAATTGAAACGTTCTCCAGAGAAGTATTTTGAAACACCTGGATCCTTTTCGTAGTAGCTGTTTATAGATTCAAACATGTCTCAGAGAAAACAACCCTGCAGATTTCTGAGGTAAGTTTTCTTTCTTTTTTCTGAAGGTCACTAACAGAAAAAAGACCCACACAGGTTCACCTCACAAATATATAATTGTTTATATGTAGGTAATGTCCTCAAGTTCTTGATAACCACTTTTTCCTCTCTCCCTCTTTTTTTCTCGTCTGCTGTTGTGTGTGTTTGTGTTTATTGTGTTGTCTCTTTCAAACAGCTGCCGGTCCTCACCTCAGCAGTGCTGCCGTCTCCTGTAACCCTGAATGGTTCGAAGCTACTTTTTCTTTTCTTGTTTCTGATGTTGTGGTAGTTTTTGTCCTCAGATGAGGTTTGAAGTGTCTGTGTTGTGCAGCTGGTCTGGTCTGTCTCTAGACAGCTCAGGCTGCACCCACCAGTAAATGGTGGAGGCTCACAAGGACATAGTCAACACACACAAGTTTCTGGCTTTCTGAACTCCTCTGCACGAGGGTTTCTTCGACGAGGGGAGGGCAGTGAGGCACAGCCCCCCGTCCCCTGTGGCCCTGCTATGCCCGCCATCCTAGGGAGACCCTCTGCAGAGGACCTGAGAGAGCCAGGAAGTTGTGAGTCGTGTACATCCACTCAGGCATCATTCATACTTGCTCTGTAGGCAGTTCCTGTCAGAAGGAAAAGGCAGAGCAGGAGCGCAGGGGGGCGGAAGATGGTGCCTCAGTGTCTCTCTCCTTCTGACATTGTGAAAAAACCCCAACAAATTTATAATTGTTTATATGTAGGTAATGTCCTCAAGTTCTTGATAACCACTTTTCCTGTCTCTTAGGGAAACCCTTTGCAGAGAAGCTGTGAGAGTTAGGAACTTTATAGTTTTTTGAGCTCAACATCATATTTATATAAAACTAAATTTTCAGTGAACATTTGAACCCCACTCGGTCGCGACAGATGGCCACCCCTTTCTGAGCCTAGTTCTGTCAGAGGTTTCTCCCTGTTAAAAGGGAGTTTTTCCTCCCCACTGTCGCCAAGTGCTTGCTCATAGGGGATTTTGGGGCTTTGTTAAATCAACCGCTGAGAAGTTCACTGGCATCAAATTTAGGACACAGCAAATACGTAAATGGGTGATTTGTCATCAAGTGAGGAATCATCCATTTGAAACATATTCGCGAGTCATATTTAGTTTTGTATAAATATGATTTTAGGTACACTAAGGCCAATCACAGACTAATTTGTACAATTTGGGGGAAAATAAATACAAAATTTGGAGGAAATAGATTTGTCATTGTGTCAACACATCTTTGTTACATATGCAGTGCTGGTGTTATATTCTTAAGATTTTGTTCATTTGATGAGTATATCTTTCTGCCTTGCTTCACATATTTACTGCTTCTTGGCTAGCTTTGGTCATGCTTGCATCAACACAGGTAGAAACAGATACACATCAGAGAATCACCATGCATCGGCCTATCTAAATGCAAATGGAAAACGACAAACCTCTAAATATAAATAACTTTTAGATTACTAAAGCTATCAATGGATCCACAGTTCCCAGAGTGAAAACACATTCATATTATGTTCAAGTCAGTTGTTATCCAATATTAAAACTATAAAATAGAATAAACACTATTTTTAGTTTACTTATTTAATAAAGAAATTTCTTAGAATTTTCATAAAAACTAAAGTTATATATAGCAAATTAAGTAAGTACAAAGCAAGTAAAATTTTATTTGTATTACAATTTTCAACATAAACATCACAGAGTGCTTCACAAGAAACTAAAACATAAAAAAATAACCACAAGGAAATTTTAAAAGATGAGTTTTTAGCTGTTTTTTAAACGAGATCATGGAGTCCCTAAATCCCAAGTTCATGCACACAGTTGTTGTCACGAACGTTGCACTCGCTTACGTCACTGTCATGAGACATTCTCGCAAAAAAAAAAAAAAAAGACTGTTTAGTAACGCAGTAATGCAGCATTACTAAACAGAGACACAGAAGGACAGATATTGTTCCTCACATTACTAACTTTTTCAATGAAGAAAGAAAGAACATTTTTACAATCTTCATTCAATGAAACTGGACCAGCAGGTGGAGCAGGAGCAACAATATCACTAATGATGTCAAATAATATCTTGGGGTTACCTCTGCTCCTTGAAACTAAGTCTGAGAAATAAGCTGCCCTTGCATCTCAAACTGATGCGTTAAATGAAACTAAAAGGGCCTTTAAATGAAAGAGATTAACATGTAGACAAGTTTTCCTCTATAATACAACAGGAATTAAATAGCAAATATTGTCATTTTTTCACGGAGACTGTTCTGAGAGGACAAACATTGCCTAAAATAGAAAGACAATAATTATTAAAAAGATTTGTTAGTAAATCAACATCGTTATAGGAAGGTAAAACTAAATTCAAAATATCAGAAAATTTAGCAGCAGTAGAAGAATTTAAGGTGCGAGACCTAACCGCATGTCGAACAGAAGAGAGGAACAGATGGAAAGTCAAGTTAAAAATAAATGTTTATTGAATCTTGTTATTTTTTTATATATATATATATATATATGCGCGTGTGTGTGTAATAATCCAGTTTACCAGGATCTATGACACGATGCACGTTTACCAAATGTACACGTGCATGTAGCGAGAGACACCATTAACATTTTCTAAGAATGAAACTTAGCATCTAGCATCGTTTTTCATATGCATTTTCAACTGTACCGAAGAACTGAAACTTTTTCCACATGTGCTACAACAATAAGGTTTTTCACCCGTGTGGACTCTCATGTGTCTTATCAAGCTTGACTTAAGGATAAAGCCTTTCCCACAGCCTCTGCAACAGTGTGGTTTCTCACCTGTATGACTTATATGTGGCTTGCAAAATGTGCTGCGTTGCTAAATCTTTTCCTACAGGTGCTACAGTAATATTGCTTCTCACCTGTGTGAATTCGCATGTGTCTATTCAAATTTGTTTTTAAATGAAATCTTTTCCCACAAGTGATACAGGAATGTTGTTTTTCACCTGTATGAAAATCCATATGCATTTTCCAATACGGCTTCCACTTAAATCTTTTCCCACATGTGCTACAAGAATATGGCGTTTCACCTGTGTGAGTTCGCATGTGTCTATTCAGGTATGTCTTCTTACCAAAACCTTTTCCACAAATGCCACAAGAATTCTCACGTAGGTGAATTTTCATGTGTCTATTCAAATTTGTGTCTAGATGAAATCTTTTGCCACATGTGCTACAGGAATATCGTTTTTCACCTGTATGATATTCCATGTGTATTTTCAAATCTTCCTTCCGATTAAATCTTTTCCCACAGGTACTACAAGAATGTGGTTTTTCACCTGTGTGAAGTCGCATGTGTCTTGTCAAGTCTGACTTCCAACTAAATCTTTTTCCACAGTAACTACAAGAATGTGGCTTCTCACCTGTGTGAATTTGCATATGTCGTTTCAAGCTTCCCGTCCTATTAAATGTCTTTCCACAGCAACTACAACAATGTGGCTTCTCACCTGTGTGAATTTGCATATGTCGTTTCAAGCTTCCCGTCCTATTAAATGTCTTTCCACAGGTGCTACATGAATGTACTTTCTTGGAATTTTTAACCATCGGGTCTGCTATGATTTGATTCAAATTATTTCTGTGTAAGTCATTGTCCTTGCTTTCACACTGATCTGTGACAGGAGAGTTGTGAGAAAGGAGCAGGACAGTGCTTGGTTCTGGTTCCCTGTAGTCACTTTCTTCACTAGCAGGAAAAGTTTCAGTCTCCTGCTTTTGTTCAAGCGGTTTTCCCTCTTCAGTGGTACCGAGTTTCTTGTGTTCCTCTTTAATCTGTGAAGGATCCTCCTGGTCCAGACTGGAGTTCGTCTGGTAGCAGACGTGCTGATATGCGAGTCCCTCCTTGTCCTTACAGTCATGTTGTGGAAAATCTTAAGGGACAGATTAAAAACAAAACATACATTTGAGAAATTACAAGGTAACCTTAACCATTAGCAGGTCTCCACATGGTAAGCATGTCGCTCAGATATACCAGTGAAAGGCATGTTGTGGGGAGAAACTATTTTGCTGACTCAGTGAAAACCATTTTGGCTGCTCATTTACAAACTATATGAAAAAACACTCTTCTTCTGTGATCAAGTTAAGTTTAGAATCATATATTTCAGAAAGTCAAATATAAATATTTACCATACTTAACCCAATCCGGAATCTGTTTGAATATTTTTTCCCTTTCCATGCTGCAGAGCAAACCTCAAATTCTTGAAAACCAGCAGAACAAAATCTACACCCAAACTTTGTTGGGTGTAGATTTTATCAGAGAAGGTGGTGGACATTTTAAACTTACACTCACTTAAACTGACTTCTTATTTTCTCCTCAGCTTCTGCATCAGTTAATAGTGGAAATCTATTTTTTGTATCACCTATCAGGGGAGATTTAAAAAAAAAAAGTCAGCTGTAAAAAAAAAACAAAACTATTAGATTCTCATAAATATTACTGTGTCGTACTTTCTGTGATATTAGGTGACTGTTGAGTCTGTAATTTCAGTGACATCTAAAATTGGTTCAACTGACTTAAACTCTTGCCTTGAACATCTCACATGTGTTTCACCAAGATTTTTGCTCCTGTTCAAAACTCATCCCCAAAATGTTGCATGAAAACCTTCTGCGTAAAACTGATATCAGACCACCACCTCTTTCTTCTAGCTCCTCCATGGTTATCAACCTGCCTCTATGTGCTCCCAACAGAGAAGATGCCATAACCGACAACACAACACTGTGTGTTTGTGGTTTGATTCATATATGTATAACAGCAACAATCAAACATCAAAACTGGGCAAGAACAAAGATCAAATAAAACATAAACAGATCACCAAGGATGAGAAAATAAAGGTGATTTGTAACAAAACAAACAAAATGTAGGAGAAAACAAAATACTTGATATAGAAAGGCTTGTATTAAAGGTTAAATGGCAGAAAACACTTAAATGTTTATTTAAAAATTAGTCAAAACCTTTACATGACACCTAGTGCAGTACATTTTTATTTAGATTAACCATAAATTTCCTGAGCAGTCAATTCAATTCAATTTTATTTATATAAATGAATAGGATTAGGCTGCTCAGGGCTTCCCATGGTGCCCGAGTGTTTCTTCTTCACTCACCTCTTTTCGCGCTGTGTGTTTATACTACACCACTATCACATTTTATAGAATTTAATTCTGGCGCTCTCTGCTTTCCTCCCCCTCCACTCACCTCCAACTGGTTGCAGCAGATAGCCGCCCCTCCCCTTTCTGCTAAAAGGTTGCTTTTCCTCAAAATTGGGGACTTTAAAAAAGCCAATGTGAGCCAGGAGCTTTCAAATATAAACAGTATACTCGACCAGAGAGGAGAGGACATTGGATCACAGTTACAGCACGATTAGCGAAGCCTATCACCCTGTGCCGTGTGCTGCACTCGGACTTTCTGACTTTCATGATCATTCTGATGCACGCGTACAGAGGCTGAAGCTCTCCAAACCTGTTGTGAGGACTAAAAAACTGGAGTAACGAGGCTGTGGAGGAGAGACGCACGGCTTGGAATCTACAGACTGGGACACATTGAGGGCTACTTCTAAAGGCTGGGATGAGTTTACGACACTGTCACCTCCTATATCCACTTCTGCAAGGACAGCATTGTGCCAGGGTGAGTTTTAATAATGGCAAATCCTGGTCCTCCTCTGCGCTTCTCCCTGTACACTAACTGCTGCACCTCCAGCCACCAGTTTGTCAAACTGATTAAGTTTGCAGATGAAACCACCGTTATTGGACTCATCTTGGACGGGGATGAGTCCGTCTACAGGATGGAGGCTGAACGTCTGGTATCCTGGTGCAGCCGCAACAACCTGGTGCCGAACGCCCAGAAGACAGTGTAGATTTATTGAGGACTTTAGGAAGCACACATACCTATTCTTTGCAACTTTACTTCAGGGTTCCACAAGATGTCCAGCTCCTGCCCAGTCCAGACGATGACATCTTTGGTTTTTGGCTTCAGTGAAAGCTGGTCACTTTCCTGATTGAGGGAGATTTCCTCTTGTTCATCTTTAGTCTGTGGAGACTCTGGGTCCTGCTGGTCCAGACTGGAGCTCCTCTTCTGGTCACAGACCTGCTGGTTATCCAGAACTTCATCTTCAACACAAGAACACAAGAAAATAGTGACTAATGTTATGACAAGAAAATGTCAACATAGTCTGACCCCGAGTCTCCCTAAGCTTTAGCAACTTGACCTTTTTCTCATATTTAACAAACCAAACATTTCATATTCTGCTTGCTTGTAAGTGAAGAGAGAGTCAATGTAATGGATGTCTGATGGGAAGGAGTTCCAGAGTAGGGCTGGGCGATATGACCCAAAATTCATATCTCGATATTTTTTAGCTGGATGGCGATATAAGATATATATCTCGATTTTTTTTTTAAAGCCATAAGTTAAGAACAAAAAGAGAGTTCTTAGTCACACTGTGTCCCAGATGTCACACGGGCACTTTTATTTACATACAGCGTAGATGTACATGAAGAAATTACTCAAAAATAAATTATCAGCATTTATTAAATAATCATGGTCCATAAATAAAAGAAAACAATGTTGTTTTTGTGCATAACAAAAAGCTCACAATTGTGCAGTCAAAATGTAAACTAATAGACGCTGAGCATAATAACAAAGAGACAGATTTCACAGCTGCACCACGTCTCTGAACAGGTGCCATTTGTGGTCCTTATACACACACAGTACGTATCACTCCGCGAGGCTCCTCCTCGGTAGCCGTAATCCTCCGACAATCCATCAAGCGGTGCAGCTCCGTAGCTTAGCAAAGTCATATTAAAACATTTTTTGACAGATTGCTGAGCGCTGTGTACCACATAAAATCGGTTCGCGGTCAGTAAGCACAACCAGAATTCATACATAAGGCGCACTGTCGATTTTTGAGAAAATGAAAGGATTTTAGGCCGTGCAGCCCCTCCTGGCTGCATGTCGTTAGCGCGGTTAGCTCGTTAGCGCGGTTAGCTCGCTAACACGTTGACGCCGTCCAGCCCCACGCACGGTAACTCGCTAACGGAGATTTTCCGCTTTCATCTTGTCATTGCCTGCAGGTGAAGCTATGGGGGAGGCGGAGTTGTGTTCAGTGAAGGAGAGGCGAGGCCGAGTAACGTTGCGTAGAGACAAAAGTGGACGAAAGAGAGGCAAACCTGCGGCTCCACAAGTATAATTATAACGTAACATAGACTATATCGATATAAACGATATTGTCACATCTTATATCTCGTATGAAAATATATCGATATTTTTAAAAAACTCGATATATCGCCCAGCCCTATTCCAGAGATCTCAAGAAGAATCTCTTGGGAACACCGCATTGGAAATGAGAATTCTTGAGAATTTACATTTTATGACTTGGTTGAACCGACAGGAGCCAGAGAGAAAATATTTAAACCAGTTTAAGAGTTTGTCAGTGATTCTAACAGAGGCTAAACTGTCAAGAAGGTGTTAGAGAGTGTTAAAGTGCTAATTTTTGTGACTGCCAGTGATTAGCACACAATATAGAAAAAAAAAAACATACAAAATCACACAAACAAATGAACAGCAGGATGATCTGAAAATGACAATGAAAGCTAATCTTTTAATATTTTACTAATAAAATACTCTGGTCACTTTATTAGGCACACATTCCTAGTACTAGATTGGAGCCCCTTTTGTCCTCAGAACTGACTTAATTCTTTGTGGAGATTCAGCAAAATGCTGGAAATATTCCTCAGATATTTTGGTTTATATTAACCCGAGAGCTTCACACAGCTGCTGCATATCTGTCATCTTCACATCCATGATGCAAATCTTGTGTTCCACCACATCCCAAAGGTGCTCTATGAGGTTGAGAGCTGGTGACCTAAGTACAGTGAACTCACTGTCATTTTAAGGTAATGGTGTTGTAACCAATTATACTAATCAATTGTTGTATCCCATCTGCTTCAAGATTCAACATGTTATGTGTATTCAGAGATGCTCTTTTACATATCTTAGTTGCAAAATGTGCTTATTGGACAGTCAGGTTGAAGCAGTCTGTTCATTCTCTTCTGACATCAACAAGGAGTTTTCACCCAAAGAACTGCCCTCACTAGATTTTTTATTTTTCGGACTACTCTCTGCAAATCATACAGATGTTCATGCTGGAAAATTTCAGCAGATCAGCAGTTTCTAAAACACTCAGTGGAGCCAGTCTGTCACAAACACCCACACTGCAATCAAAGTGATTTAAATCAGCGCTCACTTTGAACTTCAGCAGGTCATCTTGATCACATCTACATGCCGAAATGCACTGACTGCTGCAATGTAATAGGCTGATTACATTTTGGATTAAAGAGTAGCTGAATGGGTCTCTCAGATATGCGAGTGATATTTAAGGTCTTTAAGGTGTTTTAAATATTCTCTCTCATGCGCTGAACAGCAAAGAATTCTGTTCATATGCAGAAAGTCATCATTTATGAGGCGTACAAATCACTAGTCCAACTTAGTCCTTGTGGCCAATATCCACATTTTTCATTGCCTCAACGGTTTTCCTACATTCTGCGTACAGTTCTGAGCCAACATGACTTAAATCTATATGCAGAAAATAAAATATAGATTTAAAACCCAGTTTTTATTTTACTGTACTAACACAAAACATGTCTTCAGTGAGGTAGTATGCCAGGCAGAAATGCACACCGCCTGTCTTTGTGAGCTCTTTTCATGAGGAGTTAACTCTGATATCATCATGTGATGTTTTTATATGACTCATATTCATTTCTGAATTATGAAATAATAATAATAATAATAATAATAATATATAGTATCTCGGGGTCTTGTTCGCGAGTGATGGGAGAAGGGAGCCGGAGATCGACAGACGGATTGGGGCTGCGGCTGAGAGAGATAGTGGAATCCAGTAAATTAAAGGAAGGGGGGAAGGGGAAAAAATTTAAAAAACAGGGAAAAAAATTGACAAAAACCTGTTTTTAAAAAAAGCCCCAAAAAGTTTGGGAAAAAAAAAAATTTCCCCAATTTAAAAAGAAACTCGAATTTGGGGGGTTTTTGTGAACCATATATTTATGTCAGTATCTATGTTTATATCATACTTTTATGTGAACGCCTGTTGATACCCAGCTGCTGTTTTGAGCTTTAATAATTTGGATCTAAAAAAAAAAAAAAGTGTAAGTTTGACAGTGCTGTTTTCCATTTTGACAGGTTTGTGACATGTGATTTGTGGAAACTAGACAAAGATGCATCTGGTAATTATTTTTATCTATATGTCATTTGGAAGGTCCAAACTGTCCAAAGTTGTAGAATAGCCTAATTATGAAAACTTGTACCTTACATTTGGTAGTGCAAATTGTTTTAAAGGAATAAAAATCTGAAGTAGTATTAATTGCTTCTCACTGTAAAGCTGGCATAACAGCCATTATTCCTGACCCTATGAACTCACCTCAGTCAAAACCTGTCAAAATAAACTGAAGATAATGGCTGAAGAGGTCATTGGAAGAAATCCCAGAAAGTTATGCAAGACAAGTGTTGATTATCAGAAAGAGTCAACACATTCAACCATACTGACTCCCTTGATTCTCGTCCTCACTTTCCAGGTCCTCCACCGCTTAGTCACCTGTAACCGCTCAGTTATCCACAGTGTCCAGCAGCTGTCTGCAGCTGCAATCGTTGAGCCAATATTCTGTGACACAGTTTCTTCAGCACCTGAGCCCTTCTACAGGGAGTTGATTCGCTGCGGGGGATTCCTGAAGTAATGCTTGCTGATTTTCAGCTGCTCACCACGTTCATTGCCCACTAAGACAGAAAAATTATCCTATCTTGTAGGGCAACTGAGGTGAAGGGTATTAGCATAGGCCGAAGTGTATTTTTCTTTTCACCCACCGGCCTATTTTTTATTTTTATTTTTTTGTGAACTGAAAAAGGCTTTTGCTCAGCCCGTGTCTGAGGGAAGTTCTGCCCTTGCAGAAGTGTGCTTGCCTGAACACCAGCGTGCCTCTAGCCACCCTCCACAGATCATGGTCCCACATCACTGTAGATTTTGTCATGGGTTACCCACCTCAGGAAAAGCAGTCAGATTTTCGAAATCTGTACATTTCGTTGCTTTGGAGAAATTGTCTGTACTGTCACTGAAACAGCTGACTTCATCCATCATGTTTTTATGCTCCATGGAATTCCACATAAAATAGTCTCCGACCACAGCCCACAATTCCCTTCCCAGACCTGTAAGGACCTCATTTGGTACCAAGGTTAGTTTAAATTCTGCCCTAGACCAACGGTCAAACCAATAGGTTAAATCAAGAGCTTGAGACCATTCTCTGAAGTGTCACTTCCTATAACTCAGCCACTTGTTCCTCACACCTCCCATTTCTCATTTGAAATAACCTTTGGATACCAATCACCACTGTTCCCAGAGAACGAGTTGGATTTAGCTCTTCCATCTGCGCAACACCATGTGAAATGCACTCAGCGTATACAGGTGTGTACCTGGGAGCCTTTGCTCCGTGCTTCGAGGTCTGCTCCCAGGTATTAACGAAGTCAAAGCACTGCCATGCAAGTTCGCACCCCGTTACATAGGCCCTTTTGAAATTGAAACTATTATCAACCCACTAGCCATTAAACTTAAATTGCCTACAGTTCTTCGCATTCATCCTACTTTCCATGTCTCAGCCTGCTGCCCTTGCGTGCTATAGCATAGAGGATGGCACTGGCCACAAAAGATTTGTAAAAATATCCTGAGGATTGTATGACAGATGTTGAAAGACCTCAGCCACCTCAAAAATTAGAGACAACTCTGGCCCTTCCTGTAGAGTGGAGTTGTGTTTTTAACCCATTCCTGTTTGTTATCCATGTGTACTTCACTGTGTTTGTAGTCCTCCACAATGTCCACATCGTCCCACTGGATTGAAATAGTGGTCCATGGTTTCATAGTCCTTAAAAGTCCACAATCAAGTCAGGTCACTTTCAGCTGCAGATGATTCTGTTTGCACTACGTGACAAAGGAATGAACCACAGCCTGGTACTCATCACTCTCACTGACGCATCCAACCACCGAGGAGTCATCAGAAAGTCACAATCACAGTGCTCGCCGGCTGGCTCAGATAGGCATAGACACGACTGAGCATGTAGATGATTGCAAGGCGAAATTAACACACATGACAGATGGAATGACGCACAAAAGGTAACCTGTAAACAAGAAGAGGAGACAAAACACAAACGGAGTAAGAGAGACACGAAGAGAGACAAAGCCATCACTGAGACACATAAAGGATGAGGGAGACTTAAACACAGGGGATATGACAGACTCAAACACTGAAGACACGACACTATAATCACCATAGTGGGGAAGGCACAGACATGGAAGGAACCTAAACAGATAAGAACTAA